AGAATTGAAACTTGATCTCCATTAAGGATGTAAAAAGGCAAGCCACAGACTGGAAGAAACTATTCACAAAGGAATAGTATGAAATATATATTAAAATAAATATCTCCAATGGGGATTTCAGGGAGGGGGTGGGGAAGGGATCAACACACCACAGAAACCTCAAAATGACAAAGTCATTGTTCAGTAAGAGAGGCTGAGATGCTTTCTACACACTTTCCCTGACATCTCTACACAATGAAATGCAAGGGTCAGTGGTACTGAGACAAGCAAAGGCAGTTCCACTCTTTGCTTCTATAAAAGCAAGTGACCCAACCCTATTATGCCCTGGTCTCAGGCTGGCTTTGTTCCCAATATCCAGATGCAGCAGCTTGTTCTTTTGCGCTCCCCCCTCTGGCAAGAAATGACTGAGAACACCTCCTTCACATTTTCTTTTTCTTGGGCATTTTCACTTCATAAAGCTGCAGTCAATGTGTTTTGTGTGTGGTGAGGAGGGAATGACACGTTCCATGGTGGTCCCCGCCGCTGCCAGCATTGGTGGCTCAAGCAGCCTCAGGATTAGAGCCCTTTGTGTCCGTGAAAGGATATGAAAAGTCAGTTGTTTGAGCTCAGCCAAGCTGCTGATTTTTTTTTTCCCCTGCATGAGGGGTGTGTGGGGAAAAAGGTTTTGCAATTCAATTTTCCTCAATAAATTACAGCATTTTGCTGAGGGCAGCTGTGTGCAAGTTCACATGCTCAGAGCAGTCCCAAACTTTTTTAAACAAAATTAAAACGCCTAAACCTGACTTCCACATCTTACCTTCGTCTTCACTTATTTTACTAATAGGAAGACTTCTTGGAAGTGATGATTTTAATGACAAGAATTGTAGATAGTTAAGATTCCTTAATGTTATCTGGAACTCTGGCAAATCGTATGAAAACTACATTAATTTGAAATATTGCGTGCTCAATGGTCTATCTTGAAAATAATTGATTTTTATTCTGTGAGTCTACATGGGAAAGTGTCCATTAATATCTTCAGGGATTACAAACCTAGAATCTCTGTAATACAAACTCACGAGGCGATATTTATGAGCCTGGAAACTATCTGTGACAATCATTTTAATGCAACATAATGCCATTATCAGACTATTTCTCCTACTTAAAAATACAGGGCTTCCCTGGTGGCGCAGTGGTTGAGAGTCCGCCTGCCGATGCAGGGGACATGGGTTCGTGCCCTGGTCCGGGAAGATCCCACATGCCGCGGAGCGGCTGGGCCCGTGAGCCATGGCCGCTGAGCCTGCGTGTCCGGAACCTGTGCTCTGCAACGGGAGAGGTCACAGCAGTGAGAGGCCCGCATACCGCAAAAAAACAAAAACAAAACAAAAAATACATGCGGTGTTTATTTATTTTAAAATTTTTATGTATTTATTTATTTGGCTGCACAGGGTCTTAGTTGCGGCACACAGGATCGTCGATCTTCGTTGCGGCATGTGGGATCTTTTAGTTGTGGCATGCAAACTCTTAGCTGAGGCATGTGGGATCTAGTTCCCTGACCAGAGATCGAACCCAGGCACCCCCCCACTCCCCCACCCCGCCCCCGCACTGAGAGGATGGAGTCCTAGCCACTGGACCACCAGGAGAGTCCCTATATGTGGTCTTTCAAAAATAACTACCCATTATTTAGTGCTCAACATGCACTTAGATGTTATGCAAAGAATTTTATTAAAACGACTTCATTTTGTTTTCCCAACAACCCTTACGGAATTTGGTATTATTTTCTTTATTTTACAGATAAGGAGGTGTGGCTTTGTGGGGCAGAGACAGTAAGAGGGAGAGCTAGGACTCAAGCTTGGAAAGGGAGACCGCGGGGCTCCCCACTCCACCACACTTTAAAGCTGTTGACGTCATAAATGATTATCATGTGGAATCACACTACATAATTTTTTTTTTATGCTGCCTTCCTTCTTCCTTTGGAATTGCAAACAGCTCCACTTTGGCCACAGCAACTGTAATGTGACTGGACAGGCAACATATCTGGTAGCTGCAAGAGTCAGTGTACATGATGGTGTACAAACTCGTGATCGCCCCTCTGCTGGGATGTGGTCTCTGAATGACATTGCCTGTGGGAATGGACTGTCCTGCAGTGTGGACCACTACTCAGAATCCAGGGTTTTCATCAGCCATACTTGGCATCACTATTACAAGATATTAAATGAATTATCTGATATCTCATTTACGGGAATGACAAGGAATTAGATGAGGAAAAGTATATGGAATAAACACTTTAGAAGTAGTAAAAATAAAAATGAACATGATCAAGTATCTTCCAAGGTTTATCAAATATACCAAGGATAAGCAGAATCATCAAAAATGAGTTTGAGCACATTTGGCACTAACTATGTCCTTTAAAACAGAACTGAACAAACACCTTCAAGCCCCTTCCCGATTCCACTCTCAGTTGACGACAGAGAGAAAAGACTGGTTCCCACTGGGAACACAGCTTCAGCAGCCCCTCCTGCCCCACTATCCACAGAGGCCTTTTCCTCTCATCTGGGATCAAAGGTCGCTTTCTAGAAGCCACGCCCACCTCCTGGACCAGGCTCCCTTACTACCTCCAGCCTCACACCCAGTTTGCCTTCCAGGACTTCCCCTAAGGCGCTGCCACAGTTAGGATTCCAAAGGCGGCCAGGGGTGGATCTCTGTGTGTCTCCCTCCCCTTGGGGGCCTGGAGGGGAGGATTCCTGCCTGACTCACCCCCATACTTCAGGGCGTCAACGCTAATCCCTGTTTGTTGAGGGGAAGGAGGGGCAGAGGAAAATATTACCCACCACACACCCCCAAACCCAAAACTAAACACCCAACCAGCAACTCCTCCGCAGACCCTACATTCCGGATGGGCCTCTCTCTGGTTTTACTCAGACTCCTTCCAGGAGTAGCCTGCCTTCACTTCAGCTTCCTCCACGCCTCCTGAATTTGCAGCCCTTTGCAGTCTGGCCCCGCCCATCTGAAACCTGCTTCTTAGGTCACCAGAAGCCTCCTGATTTCTAAATCAACTGACAACATTCCAGGGACTTAGCTTCTCCTTTGCGTTGAACAGGCCTGTCCTTCCTCGGTTCCCCAACCTACTTCCTCCTCTCTTCCTTGCTGTTCATTGTGTGTCTCCTCTGCTTCCCTCCTCTCTTGGCTTCCTCTCTGAATATGGAGGCTTCCGTAAGTTTCTGATCTTGGTCCCTAAAAATGCTTCACTCTCTCTGGGCAATCTTTTTTTTTTTTTTGCGGTACACGGGCCTCTCACTGTTGCAGCCTCTCCCGTTGCGGAGCACAGGCTCCGGACGCGCAGGCTCAGCGGCCACGGCTCACGGGCCCAGCCACTCCGCAGCATGTGGGATCTTCCCAGACCGGGGCACGAACCCGTGTCCCCTGCATCGGCAGGCAGACTCTCAACCACTGCGCCACCGGGGAAGCCCTCTCTGGGCAATCTTATCCATCGTCACAGATTCAGCTATTACCTGCTCAGTGAAGAATAGGCAGGCACCAAGCTCATCCCAGGTCTCTCTCTCAAACACCAGACTCTTACTTCCAATGACCTGCAGGACGCCTCCACCTGGAGGTCCCAAACTTCAAGATAACTGAACTAAAAGTGGCAGAGCTGGGTCTGGGAATCAGTGAGACCAGAATTTTCTCTCCTCACACAACTGCGCATGTTTTATCTGAAATCAGGTAGCATCTATCCCTGTCCCTCTGTACGTCATACAAAAACATGTGACGGATTCTGATCATGATGGTTAACTAACCACGGGCTCAGCACACGGTGGGCCCGCCAGCTTTGGAAACCTAACCTTGGCCTTGCCTGTAGTAGCAAAGAAACAGAACCTTTCACAAAATCTCAATGTAATTCATGATCACTGTCAAAACGTGACACTGTTATAGTGAAAGACCGCTTCTGGGGATAAATCACATGCCTTAACCCAGCAGGACATATTTATAAAATAAGTTTGCAGAAGAGAAAAATAAAATCAGACATATCCCATCAAACATCTTTGCAGTAAAAGTACTCTGCCTCTGAGTCACCGCTCAGTTCACGTTGGTAAACAGTGGAAGCCTCTGCCCATAGGCTATGCTGTTTGCAGTGAGATATTCATTGCTGCATGTCTCTGTGCAGCTTCTGATAAATACATTTCATTACCAAAATTAATTAATTAATGAAGAAAGTCCCCACAGCCTGAATCACTTTAAAGCAGACAAAATTCAGTAACAGAAAAAACATCCCACATGAGCAACAATACTGAATGAGAGGATGAGAGATGAGATGACCCAACATTATTCTTTAGAACCTCAAGTTCACAGACAAAACAAAGGCTGGATACAAGATATTCCTGTGGGTATTCCTGTCTTTTTTTTTTTTAAGACACCTTAAGACAGAGCAATCAACGTGTGAAAAGAAAAGCTGTCTATAAAAACAAAAAAAGACATTTTCTGAGATGACTTTGATCCCATATCTCTGTATCTTCCATTACTGCTCTCTGTTGTCTTTGCTCAAGTATTATTTTCACCTTATTATTACTATTCCTTTCTTTGTAAGTAACCCCACCTGGCTTTATCCAAAAAAAAAAAAACTGGTGCAGTAAATATCTGTCCTTTGTGGTAATCCGATGCATAATTTAGTTAATCTAGGCTATCTTTCCGTGAGAGGTGATTGTTTTTCTCTGTTTTGAAATGTGCTCACAGTAAAGGGAATCCACGCCAGACAGCTGAACGGCAGCGGGAGAACCACTTACCAAGCACGTCACTGCTTCGAACCAACCTTGACCGTGACTGTGTAGCCACTCCTACAGCAGGTGTCACTCATGTTAACTCAGCCTCCCGATCACAACCACACCTTTCTCTTACAAACATGGCCTTTTACTTAATTAAGATAACACAGTCAGGCTGAAAGGCCCATCTCAGCCCCTGTGAAAAGGCCTTGAAAAACAGGCACTTTGCTTTGCGCTGTGAGAACTCTGACATGACTGCTACCTTACCTGGATGAAATCAAGAAATGTCAGGGGCAGCAAGTCATCCATATGCCCAACGTCTTTGGAGAAACGATTCAAAATTCTTCCTGCAAGAACAGGATATGAGAAATTACTCATTTCCCCACACAAGCCCTTTAAGAGAAACATCTCACGAACAAATCAAAACAATCTTTTTAAAGTATATGTATGTAATATATTACAGATTCATATGAAATAAGCCAATGTCAGTGGTAAAGAAAGAGAAAATAGAATGATATCTAAAGAGAAACAAAAATGCCACCAAATGGCAGTGGGTGGGGGAGCCGAAATTGAAACCTGGTTTTTATTACAAAAGACTGGGGGGAGGGGCTTCCCTGGTAGCGTAGTGGTTAAGAATCCGCCTGCCAATGCAGGGGACGCAGGTTCGAGCCCTGGTCTGGGAAGATCCCACATGCCATGGAGCAACTAAGCCTGTGCACCACAACTACCGAGCCTGTGTTCTAGAGCCCGCGTGCCACAACTACTGAGCCCACGCACCACAACTACTGAGCCCACGCGCCACAATTACTGAAGCCTAAATGCCTACAGCCCGTGCTCCGCAACAAGAGAAACCACCACATTGAGAATCCCGCACACCGCAACGAAGAGTAGTCCCCGCTCACCGCAACCAGAGAAAGCCTGTGCACAGCAACGAAGACCCAATGCGGCTAAAAATAAAATAAATAAACTTATTTAAAAAAAAAAAATATGGGGAAAATCTTGTGGCAGTATCGGGAAGGGCTGGTGGATTTGAGAATGTTCCCTCCTTTTAGATCCATCCCGTCTAAGACTCATTCCAAGTGCTAAGTCAGCAAATAAACAGTTGTACAATACCTAAATTAATCCTAATTGTCACACTAATTTTGCTTTAGTGATCAAAAGTAATTTTGCTAAGTGATACTTTTTAAATAAACATAATTATAACTTCTCTGTAATGTTTTCCCTCCAGATGGTTCACAGGACCTCACATCTTGGGAAATTGTAGATTCCTGCCATTTCCAAGTTGTGAGTTTACTATTGGGGTAATAAGTTGTTATTTTCAGAGGTGCACTGGGTGTGACAAACACAGACTGATGCTTAAGCATCCAAGAAGACCAGAGGGATGGAAGCAGGAACACAGAAACATTACTTAGTGACTAAAGATCATCACTGATTTTATTTCCGTTCTCAGAATCCACAAAAACAGTGTATCCTAAAGGCTGCAGGATTGGAAGATGAGAAATAATTTCTAATAAATATCTAGTGTAAACTAAAAATGCCGCCTGCCGTATCAAGTAAACAAAGGATGCTGCAGCCATCAGGCACTGCAGCCAACCCCGCGATGGTGCACCCTGAGGAAACTCAGGATGAGAAAACACAGGATACTGGCCCCGGAGAGCTGAGGTGCACATCAAAGGAATGATTTCAGTGAGCCTGGACTGTTGCATCTTCCCATACATAGAAAAGCAGTAAATTCCCTAACTTGAGATATCTGGTTTTCTTTTATTAACAGTAATCTTTTGATATGCTGGCTACCTGTTCTTTGTTGCAAAAACTCCAATGTATCCTGGCTCCGCCCCTGCCTTGCCTCTTTGGAGCAGTGTCTCAGAGCTATCTCAGAGGCGTGGCCCGGGCTTAAGTCCTCAGTTTTGTCCACAGAATAAAGCATAACTCTCAACTTTTAGGTTGTACATTTTTTTTCAGTCGACACTAGTCGTTTTATGATTAAATTTAAAGAAATGGAAGACACGCACACACACATACACACAAACATATAGCCTGTTTTGGGGTAGCAACTCCTGAGAAATATGTTATCTAGGCCCCTGAACTTCTTTCATAATTGAGGCTCCAGGAAGCCAGCCTGCAGGTGAGATGTGGGGCCTCTAGGTGCTCTTCCTGACCTCTGTCAGAGGTGACTTTCTCCCGAGGCCCTTCACACCAAGCCACAGCTGGACACTGAATGAGCAGAGGCTGGGCACTGAGTTTCCGCTGCCGGGATGAGCCAGCTCTGCTGTCCTCCGCGGGGCGCCTGGCTCACCAGAAGCACAGGGTGCGCCCAAGCCGGGGGCTGCAGACATTGGAGGCTTTCGCCCTTGGCCAGGCCAGGCCGTTACAGGCTGGGCCTCAATTCTCCTGTCTCAGGCTTAGGAAATATAGACTCCAGAAACCGTCTTTTAGTGACACGTTGGGAGGACCAGGGACAAATTTTCGGAGCCTCTAGGAATGCTTGCTTTAGAAGGTGATTCTCAGGATTAAAAGGGCTCATGCAGGTGAAGAACCCAGTCACAATGCCCGGTGAGTTAACAGGTGCTCAGCCACCAAGGTGAGGTACTGACTATTCCCCCCAGGTTCTGCAGCATCACGTCACCTCCGAAAGTCCACCAGACACTGTAGCAACGTCCACCTGTTAAAATGCACTTGCTGATTCAGGAGTGCTGGGGGAGCTAGAGAGTCTGCATTTCTTCCCAGCTGTCAGGTGACCCCCCCCTTTAAACTATTTCCCAGATCACACTTCGAGGGGCAAGAGCTTGGGCTATGATTTAATCAATTCTGCTTTAAAAATATTAAAATCAGATGGACAATTTTTCCACATATTCTTATGGATTTTGCGGCCTCCCAGTCATTTTTTAACTTCCCAAAGTAGCAATATAGAAATAAGGAAAACACACGTCACAAAGACATAGTTTAAATGCTTGTGATTTCTTTGACGGAAAAATGCAACTTTTTAACATAGCAGGATTCAGAAACACTGCAAGTATGATTTTTCTTAGAAGGTGTTGAAAGCAGTACAGGAATTTTTTAAGATGAAAAGGCTACTCAGGGATGAACAGTAAGTGAAAACTACCCCTTTACCTTTCACCAGATGTGCAAGTCTTAAGGTCTGAGAGACCCAGGGTTGGCAAATAGTGTAAAATACAAGGAAAACAAAAACAATGAGAAAAACTATCTCCCCACATACAATCACTACAAAAATGGAACCGAACGTCAAAGCAGGTCAAAAAATTAAAGTCTTGTTCACCAATGAGCTGAGTGTAGAAAATGTGAAATCATAAAGTTCAGTAGCTACTTCCTTGCGCTAAGAAACATTAAGAGAATGAATGGTATTTGCAGAGTATTTCATCGGGCTTAGGGACAGACTGTTGGAAACAGAGCTGTGATTTTAAGTTCATGGCCTCATAGTGTTAAAGTTTTCTCAAAAGTCTCCAAATGAAATCCTTACGATGAATTCCCTTCACACACATGCCATGACTCTTCATCCAAATGACATGTGCTCCCTGCTGGAGTATCTCCAGGGTGGTAGAGGGAAGGGGGATTCACATGAACACCGGGAACCCAATCCATTTTCAGTCTGTTCTGTTAGACAGGGATTTCTCACATCAAACCGAATCTTGCCTTCCTAGAACATCCAACCTCTGCCACTTCTTCTGCCCTTATAACCACACAAAGGGAACCTAATTTCTCTTGATATGACAGCCTTTCAAATACTCGACTGAAGTGAATCATATCCTCTCCAGCAACTACTCCCTGGTGCCTCACTGATCCCTCATAAGGCTCGGTGTCCTATCTTGGCCGCTGCCCCTTGACCAGACTCAGATGGACAGTCTCAGTTAATGCCTTGTGCCCAGGATTAAAATCAGTACCCCAGGTACTGGGGTAAATTGGTTTCACCACCTCCCCTATCCTGCATAGGATATAGTGAATCATGAAGCCAACAATAACAGTACATTCTGGAGGCCAGATCACATTTTGGACACATGTAAAATGAAAATCCACATCGCTCTGCACAGGTAGATTTGGGGAAACAACTGAGCGATATGCATAAACAACTCTAAGAGTGCATCCCTTCTGACCCCAAAATTCCATTTCTAGGAACATATCCCCAAGAGTTAATAAGTTCATCAAAAGGTTGAATGTGGCATATTTGTCAAGTCAGAAGTAGAAAACAACCCGAACAAGTCTGAAACAAGTCTATAATGTATTACGTACAATTTTAATTTTTTTGGACTTTCTACAATAACTGCATATTGTGTAAAAAGGTAAAGCAGGGAGGGGAGAGCAAGAGAAAGACAGGGAAAGAGGGTCAGGAGGAAGAAGGAGGTAAAAGGGAGGAGGGAGGGAGGAAAAGGGGGGGAAGAGAGGAGGAGGGAGGTACCCCCCTTGAAGTCCATGGTATCCAAGAACCAATCAGGGTCCTCCTAACTGCTCTGGTTCACAGTTTTCTATCTTGTCCATAAGACAGAATATCATGAAAGATGACATTTGAACTTCTTGTCAAAATACAAATTCAGGATGATCATATTTTAAGAACTGAGTCTACAATCTAAGCGGGAGTCAGTCACCTCTAGAATTCTAACACCTGACCCATACCCAGGATTCCTCTGCTTACTTATAACCAAACTGTAATTTAAAACTTGGAAGTTCCCATGTCTAATCTGGGCCTTATTATTATTTTTTTAAACAACAAAAAAAAGGTATATTTACATATAAAATACCGAAGTATATTTTTATTGAGGTATATTTTACATCTCATGAAATTCGCCCATTTCAGGTGTACAATTCAATGAATCTTTGTAACTTTACTGAGTGATGCAACCGTCACCAAAAATCAGTTTTAAGACACTTTTATGCCCACAGTGAGATCCCTTGTGCCATTTACAGGACTCCCTATTCCCACTCCCAGCCTCAGGCAACCACTAATCTACTTTCTTTCTCTATAAATTTGCTTTTTCAGGACATAACATCCAAATGGAATCGTGCGATAATGTGGTCTCTTGGTCTCACTTTTTTCACTCAGTGTAATGTTTCTGAGGTTTGCCATGATGTAGTGTGTGTCTTTTTGAGCCCCATTCTTTACCACAAAGTGGCGTTAGGCACCAGCAAAAAAAGACCCCACACTAGGCCACACCTGACCTTGAGGGTAAGTCAGAACAGATGTGTTTCGTGAACTCTTTGATAATGTGAACTTGTTTCTATGGGCCCACAGCCTTTTCATCTTTCACTAACGGTTCTAGAACCTAATTCTTTTGATTAGAATCAGCCGTTGCAGAGATTCAGCATCCAGCAGTCCTGGGTCAAGGCCAGGCTCGGA